TGCCAGCCAGCAAAGACAAAAGGACATAAAGCTGGAGGTCATCATACTTTGAAGTGCTTTTTTTAGTGCTCAGTAGGCAAAAGCCTGATTTAATTTTTTTTCTATAACAGCAGACAGAGGAGCCACAGAATTTTCATGGGCTTTAGACTGTTGCTTACGAACTAGTGAATCTGAAATTCTCTGGTGTTGCTCTATCAAAATGCCAGCTCTGCAAGACCTGGCACATTTGCTGTGTAGGCTCCAACTTTTTGTGGTTCCTGGAATTTTTGGCCTTGTACCATCTGCTATTACAATGGTCTGTCTGCCACAGAAAAGGCTCATAACTGTTTGTGGTTTCTCAATGCTGTACTTTCTACATAACCCTGAGCTTATTTATTGCTCAGATTATTCAATGATTTTGCAATTCTAGCATCTTAAACTCTGTCTTAAAGTGGAAGTTTTTTGCTTTTTTTCATCAGCTTGAATAATTTTGCTTATCATGCAAAAACAGCAGTTCACAAACAGCACACCTACAGCAAGACTCCATGGTAAATAATTGCATCTCAGCAGAACTCCCCATAGATTTAAAATTATTACCAGACTCATCAGACTTCATTTTCAGGCTGCAGACTTTGTAGCCTAAACATCTACAGACACTGTCCAGACCACAGCAGCACGGGGTACGGTATCAGCAGGCAGTCCCTGCAGCACTGTGTGGCTCACACCTACTGTTACAGATACTATAAAGAATATCTTAGATCTCTACTTCAGATTAAAGTTACATCATACACCACCCAACCCATAAAATGCCTCACCTGTGCCCAAAAGAAGGGCTGGTTTCACTACACAACCTTTCCATAACTTCACCATAAACTCATGCTCATAAGGTATTCTGACAATGGTATCTCTGCTGGTTTTTGCTGGGGTAGAGTTGATGTTTTCTCCACAGTAGCTGTGCTTTGGATTTGTGCTGGAAGCAGTGCTGGTAGCACAGGGATGCTTTGGGCATGGCTGAGCAGAGCTCACACAGAGCCAAGGCCTCCTCTGGCCCTCACCCGACCCCACCAGGGAGGGGCTGGGAGGGGACAGAGCCAGGACAGCTGAGCCCAAGGGATCCAAGGGAGATCCCAGCCCATGTGGGGCCATGCTCAGCACACAGAGCTGGGGGAAGGAGAAGGAAGGAGGACATTCAGGGTGATGGAGTTTGTCCTCCCCAGTCACTGCCACACGTGATGGGGCCCTGCTCTCCTGGGGATGGATGAGCACCTGCCCAGCCATGGGAAGTGGGGAATGAAATAGGAATAGGCAGATCCATCGGGCCAATGAATGGGTACGAGGTTGGTCTCAGTGGAAGAATTTAGGGGTTTTTGACCATGGGAAGATCTACTCAACAGCTGGTCTACTCTGACACCTGACTGGGTGCACCAATCAGAGCGGGAAAGGTGCTCTAGCACAGGAGCTCTAGCAGGGCCATTGACAGAGCTTTAAACCAGCTTGGAAGAGGTAAAGGGACACAATCAGGCTCGCCAACGCCAAGGGACAGGATGCTGTGCCAAAACTGGAGAAAATGAGCACTTACAGATCCCTCAAACTGCTTCACAAGGTGTTGGCTAAAAAGTACCACACCTGAAATATTTCTACACTAATTCACACAGTACCAGGAGCAAACAAGAGCAGCTCCAGGCTTTGGCCTAGTCCCAGAGTTTGACATCACTGTATGAGTGAAACCTGGTGTGATGAGTCTTGTGCCTGGAATTCCCTGTTGGATGGTTACAGGCTCTTCAAGTGGGAGAGGCAGGGCAGAAGAGGCAGAGGGGTGGCATTGTGTGGAATAGAAGGATTAGAATGCATGGAGCTCACAGCTGGCAAGGGCACAGTTGAGAGGCTCTGGATAAAATCGAGAGGCAAACAAGTAACACAGATGTCATCGTGGGAGTCTCCTATAGACCTCCTGTGCAGGACAATGGCACTGACAAACTTCTCTTTGAGCATCTAAGGGACGCTTCCAAATCAACTGCCTGTATTCTTATGGGGGGCTTCTACTTGCCAGAAATTAACTGCTACAACCTGGGCCAGAAAATTCCTAAAAAATCCCAGATGACAACTTTATGGAACAGGTCCTAAGGGAGTTGACTTGGAAAGATCCCCTCATTGACCTGCTGCTTGTCAACAGAGAGGATCTTGTGAGCAAAGTGGGGACTGGGGCTGTCTTGGCCATGAAGTGATTGAGTTTAAAATCTCTGTTGACAGGAGGAAAAGTGCCAGCAGAACTTCAACCCTAGGCATGAGGAGAGCAGACTTCAGGCTGTTCAGGGAGTTAGTAAGCAAGGTCCCCTGAGAATATATTTTTGCAGGTGCTGGGGTCCATCACTGCTGGTTGCTTTTTAAACATCTCCTCCAAAGTGCACAGGAGCAGCAGCTCCCAAATGTTGGAAGCTAGGCTGGTGAGGCAGAAGGCCAGCTTGGCCGAATAGGAATCATCTCTCAGAAATAAGGCAAAAAAGGAAAGTGTATGCCCAGTGGAAGTAAGGCCAGGAGACAAGAGAAGAATACAGATATGTTGCTTGCAACTGCAGGGATAAAATTATGAGATGAAAGCTCAACTTGAGTTGGAGCTGAACTCTAGGGGACAATACAGATATGTTGCTTGCAATTGCAGGGATAAAATTCATGAGATGAAAGCTCAACTTGAGTTGGAGCTGAACTCTAGGGGACAATAAAAAGGAGTTTGTCAAATACAATAATGGCAGGAGGCCGTGCAGAAATGACACGAGCCCGTTCCAGGATGAGGCTGGTCACCTCACAGACAGGGACACGGACAAGGCAGAGCTGTGTAACGCATTTGTTGCCTCTGTCTTCAACACGGACCAAGGGGGTCTCAGTGCCTTGAGCTGGAGGACCATGACTGAGAGAATGATCAATTCCCAGCTGACCCTGAAACTGTGCAGGATCGGCTGCTCCAGTTGGATCCCTACAAGTCCATGGGGCCTGATGGGCCCCATCCAAGAATCCACAAAGAACTGATGATGTCATCTCAAAGCCTCTCTCTATGATTTATGAGATGTGCTGGGAATCCCAGGTAACTGGAAGTTGGCAAATGTTGTCCCAGTTTTCAAGAAGGGCAAGAAAGAGGACCCTGGAAATTAAGTCTGTCAGTGTCACTTCAGTGCCTGGCACTGTTATGGAGAAGATTATTCTGGGAGGCATTGAAAAACACCTGAAAAAATGCAGTCCTTGGTCACAGCCAGCACAGATTCATGAGAGAGAAGCGCTGCTCATCAAATCTGATTTCCTTTTAGGACAAGGTAGCCCACCAGGCTGATCAAGGGAAACCTGTTGATGTAATCTTTCTGGATTTCAGTAAATCTGAAATTTTGGTACTGCCTCTCCCAGGATCCTTCTGGACAAGATGTCCATCCCACAAATACATTATGGGATGGGTGAACAACCAGCTCATGCGTCTGGTGCAAAGGGTGACAGTGAACATCAGACTGGTGGCCTGTCACTAGTGGGGTTCCACAGGGCTCCATCCTTGGCCCTGTGTTCTTCAACATCTTCATCAACGACTTGGACACAGGACTGGAAGGGACACTGAGCAAGTTTACAGATGATACAAAGCTGGGAGAGGCTGCTGACTCTGTTGAAGGCAGGGAGACCTTGCAAAGAGACCTTGACAGATTAGAAGACTGTGCAATCATCAACCATATGAAGCTCAACAGGGGAAAGTGCTGGATTCTGCACCTGGGACAGGGCAACCATCTTGCCTCTGTGGTGACCAGTGACAGGACTTGGGCAAAGAGCCTGAAGCTGTGCCAGGGGAGGTTTAGGTTGGATTTTAGAAAAAGGTTCTTGACCTAGAGGGTGGCTAAGCACTGGAACAGGATCCCCAGGGATCAGAGCCCCAAGCCTGACAGACCTCAAGGAGGGTTGGGACAATGCTATCAGGCACATGACTCTTGGGGACTGTCCTGAGCAGGATCAGGAGTTGGACTTGATGATCTTTATGGGTCCCTTCCAAATTAAGCTTACTCTGTGATTCTTTTATTTGCTTGTGTGCACAACTTTTGTTTCATTTATTAAACTGCCTTTATCTGAGTCCATAAGTTCCCTCACTTTAACTCTTCCAGTTCTCTCCCTGCTCTTGCCAGGGGCTGGGAGTGAGCAGCTGTGTGGGCCCTTGTTACCAGCTGGGGTTAAACCATGACAATGTTTTACAAAAAGAGAGGGGAATAACAAAAATGTGTCTGCAATGCACCAGGAATTTTTACATGAAAGAATTGCCTTTCCCTCTGACTTTCCATACCATTACAACTCCCAAAATAATGTTCTGAAGAACTACATTCCACAGATGAACTCCTTTTGTAGCACAGGTGCTCACTTGATAATGTTTTGAGAGGTCTGGGAGAAGGTCAAGAAACCAGATCTTACCTCATTAGCTATGAAAAGGCTTATATATCAAATTCCCATCATAAATACATAATATTTTAGTAATCTTTTAAAATCAGAATTGTGAAAAGCATTTTTTAAAAAATATCAACAATTGAGCAGCATGATGAACTGTTTAAAATTACAGGCCACTTTCTGTTGCTCGTGTGTAGGAAGAGTAGAAATGAAAAACTCATCTCCGTGTTACACAGATGTGGTAGGTTTTGGCCAAGTTAAGATTTTAGTCAAGGGTTTAAGCAATGAATTCTATATAGTAACAGGGTTTCTCTGTGTACTGGTTCAAGTGTGTTGAAGTTATTCCACCTATGTTTCTTTCTCAGTTTTATTTAGAGCTGTTTCGATTGCCTATTGTAATTGCTTTTCCTCCAATAGCTCCTTTCTGTGCATTCAATAACAGATGTAGAAGTTCTAGCCTTTTGAGGATCCGTAGTTATGGGTCATTCTGAAGGATTTCTGCACTGTTTCACTGTTTTATTAAACCGAACACTCCACAGAAGTCAGGAATATTTTACTTTTTAAATAACACATTTGCTAAGTTTGCCTTTGGAGTTGCAAAACTTTTATGTCGTTACCAGCTGATGGGTTTCCCTGTGACCGAAACCTTCGAGTTCTGATGGAAACTTAACGAAAGAGCAATAACTAGTAATTTGAAAAGGCTGAAGTGTAAAGCAGCTGCCAAGAGTGATACAATGCCACTCCAGAGTCTCTTGGATGAATCAGCAAAACCCACATATGCATCTACAGGGGCCGTTGCGTGAGCAAGGAGAAGGCATTCAGTGCCATAGGTGCGGTGGGAGCAGCGGATTCCCTGTCCAATGAGGTGGAATGCTCCGCAGGCACATGGTTTACGCTGCTCAAAATAACTTGGGACCTGCAAACTGACAAATGCTGCTGCTCCGGTGGTGACAGGTTGTCCAGCTCCTTACAGCCATCCTCACAATAACGAAGGGTAACTTCCCTCACTCTATGGACTCCTAGCTGTTTCTGTTCCTGAGGACTCGAAGAATCCCCTCGCTTCCTTAACTTTAACCTCACACTTCTGGATAACTCTCAGCGCTACTCACTGCCACGCTGGGCAGCAACATCTGGAGGAATTAACAAAGGTAATCCCTCAATTTCAGATTGGTCTACGTTTTGATTTTGCAGAGTGTAGCAGAAGGGTTTGATAAGCATGTATATTTGAATGCTAATTATAGCTGGTAAGGCATACACAGGGAACAAATACATTTCTAAACCGACTTTTAGATTATGCTGAGGTATGTGCATTGCAGGGAAAGAGAAACTGTGTTCTGCAGCATTATAAAGGACCTGAATAGCATTGGTGGGGTTCTCAAAATCCCTCGGAGCCAGTCTGACTCCTCTAAAGAGTCAACAAGATTCTAATGACCTGAAAAGTTCCTTGCTGGGACTCTTTCCTCTTCCTGCTCATCTTCCCTTCATGAAATAATGGATGAGTGAAATACATACATTCTTGTATTCAGCCTTAAACCAAGATGCCATCATTTGGAAGTCCTTCTTAAGCAAAATCAAACCTAATTTAATGTGACCCCCATAGTTAAATGCTTTCTATTTATTTAATTATTTATTCTGTCATGTAAAATGACCCCCGTGGCTATATTTAGTGCAGGGAGATCTGCTCTCTGGATTAATGTACACAACAGCTGCAGAAACAGTCCTGCAGGAAGGGCATAGCTCTCACCCTTGAGCTCACTATCTCCTTTGCTCTCTTTCTCTCTCTCAGAAAAGTATTTGACTGTCAGTAGCAAATGTTTGGCCCAATATATTGCAACATTAAGCAGTAATCAGAAGCCCATGTTAAGTTACCAAATAATACATCAACAATTGACAAGAGAACAGAGTAGCTCCTGAGCATATGTTAGCAGAACATTATACAAATCATGCTAAAGACGCTGATTACTCCATCAGCAGTTTTGTGTCAAGCATGAGGTTTACATTTGTGAAGATGCTCTAGAGTTTAAGAGTGAAAACAAAATCAGCAAATGTTAATGGAACGATTTCATAAACTTCAACTCTGCTCTTCTCCCTCTCCTACACCTCCTGAAGGTTCCTAAGGTCAGGATATTTCTTTGTTTTTGTCTGTCTTTAATTATTTTTTTTTTTTTTTTTTACTTTCAGAAACAGCTAACAAAATTAAACAGCAACAGCATGGTAGTTCCTGTAGCTGAGCAGAATAATATTTACATGTCAAAGAATATTTATAGTCAATTGAGGAGATAGGTCTTGTACATGGCGGAGTACCAAGCACAAAGGGGAACTGTGTGATCTGTCCTGGTTTTGATTCCTGTGCATTCTTCAGGGATTTTACAGCAGGTCTTGCTGTGGTACTGAAGGAATCTTTTTTTATCCACAGCTGATAATAATTAGTAGTCTAGGCATATTTGCACATAAACATAACATTAAGATAATTCGTCAAAAATGGTAAATGGGCAATGCAACCTCAATTGTAATCTAAACCATAGGGTGAGGGGGGAAAGAAAAAAAATCAGTTTACTTTTCTGTTTAAAACTTAACTGGATTAGTGCTTGTTTTCATAAACAAGAATAATGTACAGGAATGGGCGAATTATTCTTGTAGAATATAAACCTCGTTTAAACATTGCAGTTTGAAAATATGATTAAAATACGAGGGCTTTTATGTTACAATGCTCTTAGGGATGACTGTTATAAAAACATAAAAAAGAACAGTGGACAGAAAGAAATATGGTGAGACTGTGAGAAAAGAAAGGCACAACTGAGAAACCTGAGAAGAAAAAACACAATCCAGATTTCTTTTGTGCCTAATTTAACACTTAAGTTCCCTTTTCCACTGCGAACCTGTATTTGTAGGAAAACTGAATCTCATTTTAAAACCAACCAGCCCACGGGTTTGAAATTTCCAGAGAAAGAGATGTGCAAATGCCATGAGGTTTGCACAGCCCTGCTTTTTCAGTTTGCCCTTGCTGGCTCCGGCTGCGCACGCTGGCAGGGCTGCAGTCACCACCACCCGTGTGTGAGTCCTGCCACTGCTGCCACTCACACAGGGGGAGAACTGCTCAGCACTTGGAGTTAGGCAAAGTCTCATTGCAGGGCTGTAATTTGTCAGTCTAGAGCTAAGCTGTAGTTTCAGTCCCAAGCTGAAATCCTCAGCCGCGTGCATGTGTGGATTTCTGCACTGCTCCCACACACTACCAGCAGGAGCCACAGAAATGCTGAGTTTAGAGCATCTGGCCCACAATCCCTGAAAATGGATTTGCAGTCTAGCAGAGTGGTGTGTGTGTGTTTGAACCAGACAAATGAATATTGTTATCTGCTAGTTATATTTTCATTGAGGACTTCCATATGTACATTCAGCATCAAATTGTGGGTCTCTGCTGCAACTCTTTTGGCCTTTCATATAAACTTTATCTCACATGGGCAATCCTTGAAGGAAAGAGGACTATATACATTACTTGAATCAATAAAAACTTTTCCTCCATTGGGAGAACCTGAAGTTCCCTCAGAACTTGTCCTGATATCTGAGACCTGGCTGCACAGGTCATTGGGAGAGGAGGATGGAGGACCATCCCAGGCAGGCCTCAAAGACAGCCATCACCTGTCTTACTTTCAGACCTTTTAATTTAAAAATCAGCTGAAAATGTATTTCTTTCAATGAGATGTTTTTTCTTCAAGACATTGTGTGCCTTGCAGCTCAAGGAGATTCACTGAGGAGGAAAAAGGAACTCGAGACTTGGGATAAAGGGCCTCAGTTCTCATTTTGAGAACCACTAAGGGACAATATTAAATAAGGAAAATATTTTGTGATCAGAGTGAAAAATCAAAGATCTTTTCATTATATGAGAGTACAAAGGAAATGCTGAAAAGGTTAGAGACTCTTAATGTGCTTTTCCCTTGAAGCAGAGTTGAGTGTTTCCTCCTGCTTAGGGTGTCTAATACTGTAACAGTGAGGTCATGGGCCAGGGCATGACTCCAAGTGCACACAGGGCTCCTGCAGTGTCTGCTGCAGAATAACTTGGAGAGAGGATTTATACCACCCCATTTCTGAGGGATTTTGTTTCCATAAGAAGTTGTTACACTCCTGAGTCTGGAGATTCTCCATTTCCCATATTTAATCACATTACTTGAAACTGGGAGTTTAGTTGTCTGACTCACTACAGGGAATGGAAATCAAAGCCACTGAAGTGAATAAAACAGAAAAGTAAAGCACCCTCTTGCACACAGCTTTCTAAACACTATTTTAAAAATGTCTCACACACACACCCCCAAACACACAACCTTAGTCCTCTACTCAAGCCCAACCTCTCCTGTGTCTGGAGTCTCAGCCTGTCTTGCAGCAGCCACAGCTTGTCAACAGGCAGTACCAGAAACGGTGACAATGGCAACTGCTAAGTGACAATTCCTGCAAGCCCAGAGAATGTGACTGTGATCCTCCAACTCCTGCAAGGCAGAGCACTTGTGTCAGCTCTTACCTTGTTTTTCACAGCTGCGACCATACAGTCGGAACACCCCCATAAATGTTAAGCTCTCTGTGGGTAAATGCAATTTATGTGCAATTAAATTAATCATGAAGCAGACAGAGCCTCTAATATTTGCTAAATTTTCTTGTTTCCACACTGAGGGGCTGGGCATGCAGAGTGCTGCTGTGTAAAGGCCACAAAGGTGCCTCTCTGCAGAGCAGAAGCAGCAGTTTGTTTGCTTGCTGCTCTGCTGCTGGGGTTTCACACAAAAGCACTCCCAACAGAAGTTATGGGAGCTTGAAAAGATAAGACAGGAACAACATGTACCAACTGAAATTTCTCCTTTTAACTTTTGAAAGCCAAAGAAGATGTTCCAATGCTTTTTGCATTAAATCTGCTAATTGCATACAACCTGTTTATTCTAACATACAGGAGAGTTTGAAAAATTATCTTTAAGGCATCAAGCATTAGAAGCTGTTCTCACCAAACAAAATGGAGACATATCAGATATATCTGGGATTCCCTTAAGCTTGCTGAGATTTCACTAATGCTATTTCTGTACGAAAAACTCAGATTCTTTCAGTGGTGACTCAGGAATGAGTCTAAGAAAACTCAAACAAGAAGAAATGAAAGTGTTTGGTGTCACTCTATGCAAGACCCCAGTGGTACATATTTCCTTCCTTCCATGTAAGGATTTTCAGGTCAAGCCACTGCCAAAACAAACTGTGGAAACTTATTCTACCTTTGTGAATATTTAATCCTGAAGATCCCTTGGCTAATAAGAGAACATTGCCATAACCATAGGCTCCTGGAAACTCAAAGCTTGTTCAATTAGTTGCCTAATGGAAACTGAATTATCAGAGTGAAGAAATTAATGGAGTCAGTTTTGCACATGGCATCCTCTGGTGCCTTTCAAGATATCAGGAGCCCAAGGTCACTGCAGTTGGTGTCCCAGGAAAGCCAAAGATGCCCTCGTGCTGTGGTTTGGTGCTGGAGCTAATGAGCCAGTCAGGAGTAGAGAACTGCAGGCTGCTGGGGGCAGTCACCCCATTTCCTCCTAAATAAGACTAGTTTAGAGACATTACTTGTCACCAGCAATGCAATTCCTGCCCTTGATACAGGTTCACTACCACACTTTTCCAGTCAGCAAAATCATTGGTGCTTTCATGGCCACCACAGATTGCTGGTGACCGTGTTTCTGCTAGATTGTCCTTCTTCCTGCCTGCTCCACACAGTTATCTGCACTTATCTGATGTCTCAGCAGAGACATCTGCAATTACAATACAGTGAGCACAGTTCTTTGAAAAAAAAACACAACAAAATGGACATCTCTGAAGGCATAAGCAAGGCAGAATTAATAACCATAATGGGATTGCCCAGTTGCCTCACGGCAACACTTGCTGAAACTTACCATTTTCCATTAAATTAAAAATATAAAATGATTCCAAATATTTTAAAACTTCAGTAGACAAGCACTGCCTCAAAGTGCTACATTTGATTAGAACCCAACAACTTCATTACTAAAAATAGAATAAAAAGTCATCTTCTACACAAGCTGAAAATAGAGAAGAGTTAGATATAAAATTCTGACCCTGGGTGAGCTCTAAAGAAAAGTGATGGCCCTCTAAGTATTAAGAATTTGGCATCAGATTCATTCTCATTAATATCTTGCTTCCCAACTCTAGAAGGAGAACTCTGCTCCCTTCTACCTCTTCTGCTCCAATGGGCAGAAGGAAGGAAGTTGTTCCAGGTCCTTTGCTGGGGATCTGTTTGTTTTCCTCCCTTTGCTAACAGACAGTGGCTTCCTCACTAGGGTTTTTCAAGCTAGAATTATAAAATTATTTTGCCTAAACACATCTTTGAGAGTAGCTCCTCATGTTGCAGTGATACTCCTTAAGCAAATTAGCAGAAATTGTTTCTTTCATGTTTCAATGCTTTCGATTCATCGAAAGATGAATAGAAGACATGCAAGAACCAAGTGTCAAATATAACCAGAATGAAGTCTCAAACAACCACACTGAACACACAGTTGCTTGACTAAGGTTTTCTGCAGAAAAGCTACACTGTGATTAACAACCTCTGTTGAAACAGACATAGCACAATGAAATAGCACTTATGTCTGTGCAACAGAGGCAAATGAAACCCTGAGTACTCTCAGCCAGACAGTATCCATATACTCTTTAGACAAATCCATTACAGGAGTTCTTAACGTTCATTTGACTTCAGGTTTTGATTACACAATACTCCTTCCCTACTTAGAGCATCCAGTGTCCTCTAAAGATCTGCATCATCTTTTTTCAGCCCTGATGACCTTTACAGACACTAAGATGAAGATCTGTCATTCTGAAATGCTGCAGAAAAGTGGCCAAGAAATGCAGCAAGCCAAATTTTGCCACCTTGTAAAATACACACTTCTCCAGCCATGTAAAATACAGCCTTCCACTGTGTCCTGTAAAGCTACAAGGAGCTGGATGTTCTACCTCAGCCAGAGCCACACGTGGAGAGGTTCTAGGCTGCAGTTCATTCATGGACGGGTCTGCCCTCCAGGCTGTAAACTCCCTATGTTAGAATGGATTTAAACTCTTGGGAGCTGAAACTGTAGCTTTAGCTGTGACCTTTACAGCACATAGTCTGTGATCAGCACATGAACAAGAGAAGAGAGCCCCTGAAACACGTTCAGCTGCACTAAGGTGGCACAGCTGCCCAAGAAGTTAAAGCTGAGCAAGCAAAAGCAGTTTCCACTGAGCAGGAACTTTAAGCCTCATGGAGAACTCTTTGTACTCTTAAGAGGTTAAATTATAAACTGTGTCCAGTCATGAAACAGCTCACGATATCATCTCATGTGGGCTTCCCAAATCAATGTTCTCTACGTGCCACAGCCTCACTGAAACATTGCACCAGATAATTTAATGCCAAGTGTTCAACTGGTATCACAGAGCCTGGCTCAGCTGCAGGGACTCCACGGTGTGCTTAAAAGCCTACAATTCATATGGCATTTTATTTCTTGTTCATTGTACAGGTACAAACTTAGCAATATTTTGATTGGGTGCCTCTGTAGTCTTAGTGATTTTCTTTGTTTAATATTATGAAAATAAAGTAAAATCAATAAATGCAAAATGCCCAATATTTACATAAGGAAGAGGATTTCAGTATAAAGAAACCTGCCTCAAGCAGAGGGATTAAGGTCTCAAAATGCACATCAGATTGTGACAGCTGTATGTTCATTCATTGAAGAAAAATATAAACAGTTTAAATTGAAACCCTCCTTTTTGTAAATAAGGAATAAGGGCTGGCACTCACATTCCAGGAAGAAATACTGCAGCAGTATGAGACATTACCACTTCATTTGTTCTTAAGCATCCCTTTTCCAGGGACACCTGTCCCACTAGAAAAGTCCAAAGCCTTTCCCAGCAGAAATACCTTTTTAACTTTTCCTTCCCTGATAACTTCAGCTGTTACACAAGGCTGTGAACGGAGATGGCCAATGCTGGGGCATGGATGTTCTCTTTTCTTGATGCCACGACAGGAACAGAACCTTCTGCAGGGTGAGAAACCAGACAGCTTGGGGTAGGAATACCTGAAACCACTGCAGCAAGATTTGCCACACCAAAAATAAGCAGGAGGGAGATAATGAGCACTACATAGCTTGAGAGACAGATCCAGTGAACAGTCATGCACTTGTTTCAGTACCTGAGGAATCAGCTCTCTGAATGGGGTACAGAGCAGTCATTTGTGTCCATATTTAGGACACCAGAGGAAGAGGGTGTTATCAGGGTGTCTGAATCCCTCTGCACTCATCATGGCCCTCGTGTAAACAAAAGGGAGAACCCCACTCAGTTACACTTGTTCAAGTATCAAAAGGGATACTTTAGCTTTGCTGATCAGGCATGCAGGTTAAGCATGGGCTTCCTGATGCTCTCATCTCATGTGGTACATTTTTTCAGAAGCAGGATGACCTAAGAACATGATTCTGAAAGCCCTGTAGTACAAATTATGTTTGCATCAAATAATGACACAGTTCTCTACTTACTTTCAATAAATAATGACATAGTTCTCCACTTACTTTAAATAGCTTATTAGAAATAATGCTGGATTTAATAAGATGTGGGACATTTAGCACTATTATAGCTTCCTATAATGCATGAAAAATTGTCATTATAGAATATTTTGGTTCTTTTTCCTTCCTCCTCACATCTCTCTTATGATTTTGAGGGTTCATTTACTTACTACTTCAATGCTTTTCAAGCTAAATTTACTTCACTTTAAAGTACTGTTATTCTCAACTTTCAGTCCCTGAAATATCCAACACTTAATCTAATCTGGTGAGATTGTTTCTTAGCTAAGAAACACATGCCAGCAATGATGAAGATTTGACATTGAGACTCAGTTAATAGCTCTGTAGTTGAAGTTTTGCCTTGAACAGGGTAGAAAACACCACACTCTCAGTTACTTTATGTGAGGCTCCTGACAGTAGAAAGTGATGAAAGATGAACTTTACTGGGTAAGGGCAGCAGTGTCTGGCAGGATGTGCAGAAGCAGGCCTTTAACACAAGGCCATCCTTATGCTTCAAGTATTACAAGTACTTCCCAGTATTCAGCACACACATGCAGTTTGGAAATGTTCTGTTCTGCTTTTCAGAAGCCTGTCATTGTGTTCAATCAAAAAGATTGCTATTGTTAAGGCGTGGTCCTGTTTGTCCTTTTTGTTGGCAGCATGCAAGACGACAGTTTAGAAACCTCAACTTCAATATCTCAGCTTCTGAGAGAGAGTTATTTAGCAGAAACTAAGCACCAAGGGAAGAGTGAAAGAAGCAGATCAGAGCCAGTTTCTCATCATTTCCACTATGGCAATGCTTCTGGTGATTCAGATGAGGTAGCTGCACAAGATGACCTCCCAGATCTGTCTGCCTTTTTGAGCCAAGAAGAGCTTGATGAAAGTGTAAACCTGGCAAGACAAGCTATTGATCAGAATCCACTGGAAACTAAACAGGATGAGCTTCAGGCACATTCACAGCACTTCCCAGATCAGCTGAACAGCACAGGAAAACACAGACAAATGGCCCAGTCCACAGCTCTGAAAACACCAGACAATGGCCTGCACTCCAACTTTTGTCAGGAACATGCCAGAAATACAAAGGGGTCCAAAGGGAGTTCTCAAGATCTAAAGAAACACCACCTCCCTTCTGAATCAGAATCCAAAAAGGAATTCCTAAACAAGGCAGCAGATTTCATTGAGGAGCTCTCATCACTTTTCAAAGCTCACAACTCTGAAAGAATACGACCTCGAACATGCAAAAACTACAAGAGCAAAATTGATTCTAAGAACAAGTCTGCTCAAAAAGGTAGCTCCAACCTGTCTCTCACATCAGAAAACAGAGAAAGGCTTTCCATTCCAACACCTCAAGACTTGGAAAACAAAGCAGAGAAAACTTTTGAACAAACAGATGATCAACAGGCAGCAAACCTGGAATCTATCAGTCAATTAACAAGTGCAGAGCTGAAAACAGAATCAGAATCTGCATCTGTATATTCTGATGAGCCCATTGGACAGCCACCACGCTTTACTCAAAAACTGAAGAGCAGGGAAGTTCCTGAAGGATCCAAAGTGCAATTGGACTGCATTGTGGTAGGAATCCCAGCACCTGAAGTCAGGTAAACATATTCTGCACTTGTCATTTTGTATTTCTGTAATGGTAGGTGTGTGCAAATGGGAAATACCTTGTTTGGGAAGAATATTATTTCTACTATGCTTCAGTGTAAACTCACTGCTCTAATTAACAGTTTAGAGGCATTCCCTTGGTGGAGCCATTACAAATGTGGTATTGTGTTCAGCCCATAAACTTGTAGAGGAGTCTGACTAAAAGAGAAAACAGTGCCAGAAATTATGGGGTTTTTTTAACAGAAAACAAACAGGAAATATCATCCCCTAGGTATTAGGAACACTCTCTGCTTATAAAGCAAGACTCTGAACACTTCTTTTGCTTATTTCTCCAGGCACTTGCCTTGATAAATCATTTTAATAATAAAAATGTCAGTAGGATCCCTGGAAGTGAGAAATTATTTTTCCCCCTTTTATCATTCATAGTTTATAATGCAATGACAACAAGTGAAATCATCTTCTCTTACGGATCTGAACCTGAGCACAAATTCAGCCTGGCTTTGTTCACATTCAGAACAGGTGAACACTGAACTGCTTGTTCACAGTCTGTACTCCAACACACAAAGTTCAATTCAGGTGTTTTTCCAGAAGGCCACAGCACTGTCCTTATACCAGCAGTCATGTTTGTGCTGTTGACATACACAGAAGTGACAAGGTGCTCATGTCATCCACGTTTAGGTGTGCAACAACCACCAGAATTAGAAGCTGACACTCTGGAGTCACTGAAGGCTTGCAAGGGCAGACTGGAAGGCCAGGAGTGATGGCTCATCCTACAGATAACCAGGGATGAGCAGAATGCCTGCACACCCAACGCAGGAACCACTTGATTCCACAGAAATGGATGATGGATATCTTTGTGGCTTGGGTCCATTTGTGCCTCAACAAAATGGAAGCGTTTTAGTTGAAATTTCTATTTCAACATTTGGTTTTGTTAATTTTGATAAATTAAATAAGTGACTTATGTGAATGCCATTCAACACAGGAGCTACTACACTTGTGTAGAATAAGCATCCATCAGATACAGGAAATTAGGGACAGGGAGAAAGAAGTCCCCTAGGGAAAGTTAGTCCCAAGCAGTTACAGCTCAAGAAAAAGATAAGGCTCAGCTTTCAGTTTCACAATTTTAACTAAAAAAAAAAAAAAACAAGATAAGTGACAAGGGGGGGAACTCTGAATTCTCTCTCCCTTGTGTCTGTGTGTGTATGTATGTGCTATATTAAGGAGAAAGCTGGGAATGTTAGCTCCTTGAAGAGTTTCCTGATCATAATTATTTATTAACAAAACTTTGTCATGCTCATCCAAGATTCTTTCAACTCCACCACTGTGCAGAAGTAACACTAAGAGAGGGTGCAAAAATTGTCACTTGACTGAGTGATAAATATTCACATGCTTCCATGTATTGTGGCCTTGTTAGTCACTGCTGCAGCACAAGGAAACCAGAAAACAGAATGTACTGTGGGATTTGTGTAGCATTAATCATGGGGACCAGAAGAATGCAGCTTTTTTTCCCTAAAAATAGTGCTTATCTTTGATCTGCTGTGCACAGCTTCTGAAAGAGTGAAGGAGGCATCTTGTTTGCCATAGTTGTGGGACTGTGAGCAGAACTGTGCTCAGAATTGCCAAATGTCTCGCTTGGAGGGTAAGACTTTTCCAAGGTTTATGGTGAGTTAGTTCTGTGTCTGTGGAGCAGGGCAAGGGCAGAAGGATTCTAATAGATAGGTAAAAGAAATAAAAAAAAAAATCAGCAGTCCCAGGAAAGAACCAGCTGGCAAGGCAGCAACTGATGAAAGAAAGCTTAATGACCTTTGACTTGAAATGGACTTCCTAACCACAGAAAGGGATCCCAAGTGACGTAAAATGCATATACTAGATATAATTACAAAGTGGAAGTCATACTGTGGGAAGCCAGAGCACTGTGAAACAAGAACAGGATTCAGCAAGCTCTGTAATGCAGTTAATCAATCAACATGAGGAGCAGTCTGATGGTTAAACTGATGTAATGGGGATTACAAGAGAGAAATTAGAGACAGGATATTTAGAAAGAAGCTGTTCACAGGGATAGAAAGGACTGGAAAATATGAAGGGCAGATACCATGTTTGAAAGCAAGATAGTACTAAACCAAATTGATGTAAAAGATGGTGTAAATTACATTCGGTATGGATCAGGGTCAAAATACCATTTTGATTATTTATCAAATTACCAAACCATGGCAATGATAAAACATTACAGGTGTGGTACATAACTATCCAGCACAATGGCTCACTGAGGGAAAGAAAACTGGATGGTGGAGCAGGGGAAGAAATGGGGAACTGATGTGAAACACCAGAACATGGAAAGCTAAGTCCTCTTGGCTGAATTCAGAAAGACCTGCCCAAATGTTTTTAAAGGTAACTCAGCCTTAATGAAACAAGCCCGCAATTCAGAGGAACTTATTTGGCCAGCCTATCTAGAAATTTGTGAGAGAAGTGACTCACTTTTCAGTGTCATCAGCTGAAGACTGATACCCCAGGATGCGTGCCTCCAGCTAGCTCAAACCTTAGCTGGCAATTGAAGAGCACCACTGCAATTCCTGCTGATTGCTTTGCTCCGACTGCACTGTGGGTTAGAAACAAGCCTTTGAGAGAAATGCATGGTGTATTTCCAAAGTGTTTGATGACCTCCTTCTCATGCTCCCTTCCACAGCTCTGCTTCTCTATGAGTAATGGTAGGTGTGACATTTATTCCCCTCTGTGAGGAGAGCACTCCCTTTTTGCTCAAGTTCAGAGGTGTCTACATTTTCCCAAACTGTTTGGCACATCACTCTTAGGTTAATTTTACTGATGAATCACATTGCATGGTTTGGCATACACAGCTATGCTGGAAGTGTCATGAGGATTTAATGTTCTAAAAACAGGCTGTATGTCATAAGGTTTCCATGAAAACATTCTTTAACATAGGCACACAAAGCTTAAAAGCTGCATTTTATGCTGCTTTGTTTGAGACCAGACCTGCAACTAATCACAGACTTTTAGAAGCTCTGGAACCCTGCAAGATTAATTAATATTTTTCTTCCTGTCTGCCAGATGAAAACATTTCCCTGTTTTAGTGCTCAGTCTACAGCCAAACTTCTCTTACATTCAGCTCCAGTCGAGTCAATGGATTAAGATCTAGGATGAATTTGGCACAGGGGATGACGCTGCCTGTGCTGAATGTGAACCTCCCTTGCATGAGGAAGCTCTCGCTGCAATCCATGGCAGGAATGAAATGTCAGTGGCAGAGCACTGCTACTCCAGCCATGGCACGTATCTCAGCGTCAGAACTGCCCTGGAGCTGACATTTCATTGCTGCCACGTAGGTTTTCATGGTAAGTGTAAAACCAAATGTTAACAAGGAAGGAGTAGTATTGTATTTGCAAGGACCCTTGTGGCAGGAAGGAATGATGAATCTGATCCCATGTTCTCAGAAGGCTAATTTATTATTTTATGATACTATATTATATTAAGGAATACTAAACTATACTATGTCAAAGAATACAGAAAGGATACTTACAGAAGGCTAAAAAGATAATAATGAAAACTCGTGACTCTCTCCAGAGTCCTGACACAGCTTGGCACTGGTTGGCCAAAGAGTCAAAACAACTCACAGCAGAACCCAATGGAACAATCACCTGTGGGTAAACAATCTCCAAACACATTCCACACAGGAGCACAACCCAGGAGAAGCAAATGAGCTAAGAATTGTTTCCCTTTTCCTGAGGCTTCTCAGCTTCCCAGGAGAAAAATCCTGGGCGAAGGGATTTTTCACAGAATGTGAATGCCACAGAGTAGATACACCACACCAAAGTTTTCTATGAAGCTTAACTTCACAGGAGACCATTGGTTTTCATTTATAAGCATTACAAGACAGCATTCTGCAATACAACATGCTCCTTTTTCCAACTTAACCTCAAAACACTTGAACATTATGCTGAAAAGAGTGACTACAGAACATGCTGCATAGAGAACTAAACACAGATTTGAAACAGGAGTTTATTCCTGAAATTTTAAACCACCTGATGCTGCAAATTTGAGACTAACCAAAGGAAAAAATAACTGCAAAAAAAACAATTAACTCAATACTGCTTCATGGTTTGAGTCTACTAAAGGGATATAATACTTGTATACTAATAAAATAAGTGTAAAAATTAGCTTGTGTTTTAAAATTTGCTTATAAGAAAATGAAATTGTGCCTCACAAAAGTAGGATACAGACTTAACTCTGCACAAACACAACAGGTTAATTAGAAAAGCTGATCAATAACACAGTGAGTTCTACCTTAATGGCAATTATATCACAGCATTTCTTGTAATGTGTTTTACCTGATGTGCCAGTTCAGTAAGGAAACACATTTAAGTGGACACAAAAATATAATAACACTGTACTATGCAAGTTATTTTAATGTTCTGAAAAGATGCTGCTGGAAATGAAATCAAATTGTAGAGCACGGGTATTCTCTTGAATGCTTATTGATATCTGCCAAGGCTCACACACTCAAACAAGGCTACAATATAAGGAAGAGGCATGGAGTAGGTATATAAAAAGACATGAGTAAGTGCCATGACTCATGTCCCAAAGTACACAGTTGCCTACATGAGTTACACACCTAAAAGGCAACTTGTACATTCATATACCAAATTTGTGCCTGTAGTCACACAACTGCATACATAAACCTTCTCTCCTGATAATATGACCATTTTCAGTGATCACCAACTGCAGTTCTTGAGAACAGCAGCAGAATGAACCATAATGTAAACAGAATTTTTAAAAATTCTCCCTTCAGTATCACAGGAATCCTATATAATTCCCAAGCCTGGAACTTGAAAAGGCACTAATAATTGCCACAGGATATTTTCAATCGACCCTGTAATGCACATTACCACACTTCTCCCTTGGGACTGCTAAACATTTCCTCTACTTGCTCCTGGTAGGGTTGTTCATCTATCACAGGCACGGGAGGTTTGTGCTCTGGATGCCAGCTATGAGCTCTGGTGTCTGTACCTACACTGTGTGAGGACAGCACTGAACAGAAAAGAAAATGTGATACTCACTTCTGGGGACCAGTGAAAAACACCTCTTTGTATCCAAGCATTAGTGGTAAAAATTCCAGATTTGGGCAAGCCATTATGGGCAAAGTTTAAAATAGCTGTAGCTGTTCTTTCTGTTTGAAGAATTTTGTTTTGGAGGATCTGACAGGACAATGACAGAGTATGACCACTAAAAGTCGATCAGAAGATGGTAGAAAGATAATTATTTTTAAAAGAAATGTATTTTGAATGGAAACACAAACCAATAGTTTCAAAATAAAGATAACATAAATAAAGATAAGTATTTTCAAAATAAATGTTAGCAAGGAACCATACAGACAAATCTATTGGAAAATAAGAATGGTTCTGTGATCATGAAATCTTAAAGGGAGAGGTAGTTTATAAATTATGATTTTAAGACCAGCAATTTCACATTTTTAGAACTATTTTTAAGTGCTGCTTCACACCTTGGGGAAGAAGTTAAAGAGAGTGGTCACACACTCCAGGGCAATAAGTGAATATGCACACCTGTATTGTTCATTTTGCTCTTGCACCCTCCCTCGGTGTCACTTTGGGCACTCTCAGGAGAGTGTGCTGGGTTAGGTGGATCTGTCATCTGAGCCACAACACCCAGGGGCTTCTTGCTCATCCTTCCACATGTGCCAGCTCACCTTGGATTTGTGCTGCTGTTACTGCTCCCTTTTGTGGGAGCACAGCTGGCTCTCCAGCTTCCAGAGGCGCTGTGCGCTCCATGGGTTTGGCTGGTGGCCAGAACACTGTCTGCATCTTCAACAAGCTGCACTGAGGTTTGGGAAACAGCCTGAATGGCTGCTGAAAGCTACCTGGAGTAAAGTGCAGTCCTGGGAAGTGTCCGCAGACAGAAGGCAGCTCGGGGCATCTCTGGTGTGAATGAAATGCAGGGAATTCCCTGTGTGCTGTGAGAAAGCCGTGTTGGATGGCTCACACTCATGGGCACAAACAGGGCCTGCTCTTCTGCTCAGCTACAGAATCAGCACTGAAGTGCTAGGTCTGCATTCCTCCATACCTCAGAGCTCCCCTGAGGCTCCTTCCTCAATTCTCTGCTATACTTCTGTTATTTTCTGGGTTTCTGCTGGTATGGACAGCTTAGAGATTGTTTTCAATATATTAATTTGGGGTTTTCTTCATGCTTAATTTGTAGCACAAACTTGTTTGGAAGTTCTGCAACTGAGTGATCAAAAAATTTATTTATTCATGTTTTTCTAAAATATCTGAGATGGACATGTACTGAAGTACCTTATAGTGCAAGACAGGAGATATTAATTATTACAACTTCTTACTTAAAAAACCTATCCTTATCCTTTCCACAACAATCTTATTTTCTGTAGTACCAGTCAAATGTCAACAGATTGTTTTACCAAGTTACCATAAAAGATGGATGAAATCATTACTAATTTTTTTAAGTCAATTGAATAAAAAATATTGCCAGTATGACAGCCCCCATCCTCACATGCAGAAGATGCAGTAGCTAATCACATGTAATTAAGAAAGTCAAAGTAAGAAAATACAAATACTTTAGTGGCATTTTATATCTATCTATCCATCTACCAATCTTCATGAGAAAAGTTACAGTGAAGATAAATGTACTCAAGTTTGGCTTTTCAAATTTAGCTAGTTATCTATAATTACAGGTATTTCTGAATATTATCTCAAACATTTAACTCTGGGTCTTGATACACAACACTACATCTTCTTTATAAAGCCTAGATTTAATTTGAATCTGTTTCTGCAGACCCACCTGCTTTGTGTGCTTCTGTTCTGCCTTGTAACCAGCATCCATCAGTGCTGCTCTCCTGCTCTCCCCTCCTAGCAGCTCAGAGTGACACATCCTAGAGAGCTCTCTGTGAAGGTGCTGCTTTCCTTTTGGGTGGATTCCTGCAGTTTCCACTGAAACAACCCTTCTGAACACTGAGGGACTTAGGAATGCCTGAGATGACAGTGTGAAAGCTCAAGAGGGCCCAACAGATTCTTGGATATGTAGCAGTGTTTAAAGAGGAGCACAGAAATATTGTGCAGAAAAGCACTCCAGGTGCAGCTGTCTCCTGGCTGTTTCTGTAGGGAAGCACCTCGATTGTAATAGATCAACTCTCTCACCTTGTGATACACTTCTGACGTCTTTCAAAAAGCAGATTGTGTTAAATATATGACAAAGACAAATTTCAGTCACATTCTGAATTAACATGAACTTAAGAAACACAAGTTTGAGGGATATTTGTTAACTTAGAGTGGGGTGGTTTTTGCAGCACATTAAGCCACTACACAGATCTGATTGTACCTCAAGAGAAATTCAGAGCTGGATTGACAGTGTTCCAAATTCAGAGCTCTTTTACTCTTTATTGAATATTATGAAAATCATTCATATTTTATTCCTATGACTGTTGATTAAATACTTACCTGCAGTACTCTGTCAGAATCTTCAGGCTAAACCTACCAATTTTATCAACAGAAAAACTACAAACATTATCATCCTAGTCATCAACTTGTTTGCATTGAAAAACAATTTCCTTTTGCCTTGCAGGTGGTACTGTGAAGGGAAGGAGCTTGAAAACTCACCAGACATCCAAATTATCCAGGCAGGCGACCGACACTCCCTGATCATTGTTGAGGCTTTTGAGGAGGACACAGGGCGTTATTCGTGCTTTGCTTCCAACATCTATGGAACAGACTCCACTTCTGCAGAGATTTACATAGAAGGTAATCCTACAAGTGCTGCAGAAACTGATGGTTGAAACTGCTCATAGGATTAGGATACAATAATGTATCTTGTTTGCTAACAGTGATGGTTTTGCCATTAAAAAAAAAAAATAGCAGGAGTCAACACTTTCCATTGTTACTAATATAATTATTATTTTCCTGTAAAACACTCTTCAGACAAGAGACCAGGCCTTTCATTTTATTGTGTTACTTCCCAGAGATTGTATATATCTCACTACAAGATCCAAGTCTAAAAATACTCAGATTCTGAAACTACTTTTTATTTTTGTCTGTGGAACTCTACAGAAGTGTAAGAAACTAAACTTTGTGTCTAATACTTATTAATCCCTTTTCCCTACAGTCATTCTTGGGACCTTGTAACCAAAATAAATATGCCATCAATTTTATATTCTACATGCCCAGTAGATGCTGTAAATCAAACAGAATATATGTTTGCAGACTTATGTGTCCTTTCTTTCTCCTTATGCTTTTTACTGTACCTAGTAGGCCTAACAGTGGTTTATTTATTATATTTCTTTTTTACACATTCTTGGGTAAGATTTGAGATTGACTCCATTATTGTGCTAGCATGACTATAAACTTAAAATAAACACATAGGATTTTGTTTCTTTTTCTCTCAGAGAAGCACACCATGAGCACCATCCCTGAGCACTGTGGGGCTGTTCATAAATTAAAGCACTGCCCAGAAGATAATTCCGTTCTGCTGTTATTCTCCTTCCACGACTCTAACTTGACAGTGAAAGGACAAATCCTTTTTCAGTGACATCAATGGGAGATGTCTGTGCTTGGCAGGGATTTACAAGGCAGGGGCCAAGGTCTGCTTTTACCCAGCTCAGTGGGTGCTGGATGGGAGCCATGGCTGATGGAGATGCTCACTGGCAGCAACTGCAGAGAAAAGGCAAATTCCAACGCAGTGATGTGCACAAAGTCTCAGTAACTAACAGCAGGTAGTAAACAGCGAGTATCTTCTTCACATCGTGGTACAAGGCCGTAGCTGGAGAATAACAGCTACAATCCCAGGTCTCTCTCTTTTTCCTTTTAATCTGATAGCATCAGGTGTCTGAGACAAGGAAGCTCGTACTCGATTCACAGCAAATCATTGTGGCATTTGAAAAAGAACCCAAGGAACAGCCGTCATTCCCTCTTGGATGTTGCTCTCCTTACTTCAGCTGCACCTCCTCCCAAATCTGCCTTATCCCAGCAGCAGTGCTGCACCTCCACAGTATGGCACGGGTTCACTTCCCCTGCAGTGGGATCTTTTGTCTGGGAGCAGCTTTAGAATCCATACCCATAGAGTGCTCTACAGCAAAGCTGAACAAAGGTTTGTATCATTCAGAGGGAAACTCAAAACCCCTCTGCTAAATTATTTTTTTTTATTTTTCCACAGGCATCTCTTCTTCTGACTCTGAAGGTGAAATCATCAAGGACGAAATGGATCAGTAAGTTTAAAATCAATTACACCTCCCATATTTCTTACAGTTAAAAAACCCACCAGTGCAGACATTTTATATATCTCACTGCAGCTTCCAAGACATTATCATTTTGTTTAGGATTAGTTTGGATTGGTTGGGTTGGGTTTTGTTTGTGCACTTGTTTGTTTGCCTTACAAATAGTATGGAACAAACATTTGTTCGCTTTTGTGTCTTCAACTTTGGATTAAGAATTGAAATTTTAATATTAAATATTAATATAAAGGGAAAGATGTTACCATAAAGATTGAAATTCTAAAATTAATTTAATAAAACAAAAGCCATTTGACTAGATCCAGCTTAAATGCTGATTTAAGTGTCTGACTTGGACAAAGAATGCAGTACAATTTCTCACATGAAAATACAGAAGTTTTTTGGTAGAATATAGGTAGAGACTGATTATTCAGATTTAAGACAAATAAATTAATAGACATTCACTACAGTGAACTGAAGTGATGGTATAAAACACTACTTAATTATAAAAAGAAAATATGTCAGATGTAATCTAAAATCTGAGAAATATTTATTTATTCATTTATTTATTTTTCCTAAATGAAATCCATCCCCTGATGATTCAGAACCTGATCCAATGCTGTTAAAAATCTTTCAGAATCAAAGTCCTTCTATTAGCTAGAAAGGGAGTCAGACTGGTTGAAAACTAAAATAAGCAGTCTTTTATTTTGAACTCCTTTGTATGCACAGATTCAACATCAAAAGCAAGCAGTCCTTGATAAAAGAGGGCCTAATCAGATAGATTTATGCACCCTGTTGGTTTTTTCCATCACTAAGGAGAATTACACTCATTACAAATGCCAGTTTTTAAAATGCAAAGAGAAGATATTTGCAGTGTATTTGACTGAAGACCTCAGGCTGACAGCAAATCCTGTTGTATGCAATTTAAACTTCAAGGTCATAAAGTATTTTAGATGGAATTGGTTTATAGACTTTGACAAATGTTAGGGGTTTTATAAAACTTAAGGTTAAGAAAGTCTCAAATTTGGGATGTACTGCTAATGAGTTTGGGATGAATTGTGAAGTTTTCCATTCCAGCTCAGCCTTGTCCAAATGTCACAGGCTTTTTTTCTTTTTTTTCACATTCATCTCATTAGATGTCAGTGTAGGGTTGACCATGATCCTGATCACTTGATGGCATCCCTAAATCACTTACCTCATCAAATTGTGAGGTAATTTTTTTTCTCAGATGCTGCTCTGACATCATAGTAGGATGTCCTCATATGATCACATTACAAAAGACCAGGTTTGGGTGTAATAAGAATGTCTCCATTTCTGCTTGGCTTCCAGCTGTCATCACACCAGTCTGAACACCTGTAACTAAAGGGAGTTAATATGAGAACAGGTGCTAAAAAAGTTCAAAAGAGAAATCAGTGATCACAACAGTTGTGCCTTCACTCTGAGTAAAGCATCCTCTCTTTTGAAGGCTAGCTTTCCTGGGGGGAACCTCAAACTGAATTAAAAGACCAGCTGGTCACTGTCTGCATTATTTCACCCAGCAATAAAATTAAAAAGGGTCAACTCTTGTATTTCCATATATAAACAACCACAAAGTGAAGAGGTGTCAATCTGTACAGTAGCAAAACTGATGATATGTTGGTCAGAAAGCATGTCTCTTCTTTTTCAGCAATTAATTATTGAATCTGTATCCAAGCAAACAAACCACAGTATTTGCATTACCTTAGAGGCCCAGTTCCTCACAAAATAGAAAGCAGCAGTGTCCTCTGTGAAAGCAGCATTGCTTTCTCATGCTGCTCTGAGCTGGTAACAGCCACAGCTGGGTTAATCCAGGCCGTTTATTGCACCAAGGATAAGAGGTTAGAGTGGCCAGATGTGCAGGCTGACTCACCCAATGCAGCTCTGCTAGGAGTACAGATCAACTTGGATCAAGAGGAATTCAGTCCCAGCAGTGAGGCTGGGGTTGGCATGTAACAGAGACAGATGTGACTTAGGGACACACACAGAGCTCTAGCTTCAAGTTAGAGAACTTGTTCTTGGTTAATATTTCACAGCAAACCAAAGGCAGCCAACACCTCTGTGAATGCAGCATCTCCTGCTGTCAGAACTGCAACCAAGCATCAAGAAACCTCCAAGGCAGCACCAGCTGAGGCTCAGCCTGTGTCTGTTCTTGTCCAGACTGTGTCAACACCAGTTAACCAGGTAGGGGGGACACCACGGTGCATTTCGAGCACAAAAAGTGAGCTCTTAATAAAGTATTTCTTCTATAGTTTGTGACCGAGAACCCCACATTTTCTAGCATTTGCTTTGCTGTTGAACCCCAGCTTTGAGCCTGGCAGCCGTCCAGGCCACAGAGGAGAGGCCCTGCCTCCAAGGAAACCTGGCCGGGGGCCGGGACCTTCCTGCCCCGGCTGCAGGAGCAGCGCGAGGGGCGGGCGGCTCGGCCAGCACCGCACGGGATCCGGCTGCATTCCCTGGGGCTGCACGGGATCCGGCTGCATTCCCGCAGCTCCGGGGCTGCACGGGATCCGGCTGCATTCCCTGGGGCTGCACGGGATCCGGCTGCATTCCCTGGGGTTGTACAGGATCCGGGTGGATTCCCTTGGGCTGCACAGGATCCGGGTGCATTCCCTGGGGTTGCACAGGATCCGGGTGCATTCCCTTGGGCTGCACGGGATCCGGGTGCATTCCCTGACACCGCCCGGGATCCGGGTGCATTCCCTGGGGCTGCACAGGATCCGGGTGCATTCCCTGGGGTTGCACGGGATCCGGGTGCATTCCCTGACACCGCCCGGGATCCGGGTGCATTCCCTGACACCGCCCGGGATCCGGCTGCATTCCCTGGGGCTGCACAGGATCCGGGTGCATTCCCTGGGGTTGCACAGGATCCGGGTGCATTCCCTGACACCGCCAGGGATCCGGCTGCATTCCCGCAGCTCCGAGGCTGGAAGGGCCCCTGGATGTGCGAGGCGCCTTCTCCCCACGGCAGACTGCCTCATCCACTTCCCAGCCCCGCGTGTTTTCCTCTCTCTCGATACAGAGTTCGCTTGAAATCTTTTCCTTTCAATGAAACTTATTTTAAGCGGAATCGTTTCACTGCTATGTTTACTTCATGTGTAAATAAGCTTGTTTGCCACATAACATTTTACTTTCCACATCAAAGGAAATTAACATTAGCATGTTCTAATTAACACCACCGTGCGCTGGGAGTCCTTTTTGTTGACAGCATATTCGCAGCTGTGAATTCTTCCCCGGTAGGAAAGAGGAGCCATACTTACTTAAAACTGGAAAGTTCACGAGTTTCTCACTTTGCAGCGCCTTTTCAAAGCTTACAGCCCAGAATTAGGTGGTAACCGATGAACAGACACTGAACAGGCGAACTAATACATGTTTACTTTTGATTACAATGAGAATAGAACTCAGCCTCTGCAACACTTTGCCATTTTGAAAGAAGATGCTTAAGGGTAATAGTTACTTCAAAAATCACTACTTTTAAATTTTGTTGGCTGATAAGGCACCATTTATGGGTAAATTTGGCTATTTCCTGAGATACTGAATCATTAATTCTGCTGCTCTGAGGCAACTCCTATTGCATTAAAATAAAAAACTATATTAAATACTCAACCTATATAACAAAGTTTCCCAGGGGGAAAACAATTCCATTCTGTTTTACTGAGTAGGATCAACAGGTTGATATCCCATCTCTGTAAAGGTTTGGTTTTGGCAAAGGAGAAGAATTATAGTAGTAGTCACACATGTGACTTGACTTAATATTTCCTTATTAGCATCAATAACTATTTTGTAAGTTAAGGATTTTTAAAAGAAGACTATGACCAAGCAGACAACATATATTTGCCTTATTGAAGTATGAAGAAAAGATGTTACAATACACTGTGCTAAAGCTTTTATTTCTTAACTGAGTGAGGCCATAAAGTAATAACATTTTTGCTGTTATCCTATCCAGGAAGATCACCAGCACCTGTCCATAAGAGAATTTCTGTTCATTAGGTATTTAGCTTTGGACTTCATCCACCAAAATCTCTTTTATGTCATTCCAAAAGCACGTTTCTCTTGTATATGAGAAAATAATGTCTGCACACCTAAATATCATCTTGTGATGTTTTGCAATCCACAGGCTCAAAGCCCCACTAACTATTTGCAAGGACTGGATGGAAGACCTATAATTGCTGCTCCTGTATTTACAAAGGTAATTTCTTCTATGACATCTTTGAAAAGTAGAGGTCAGATAACTGTAAAGAGAGATAATTAAAAATGAGCTGTCAAAAAAAAAAAAAAAAAAAGTCTTTTCCTAAGCCATTCAATGGTTTAAGTGGCTTTATTAAATCTTACTGAAATCAGTATTACATCCAGACCGTGAAGACATTTACTGACTGTCTATTCATTTTCTCTAATAGATGTTACAGGATATTTCAGCTTCTGAGGGGCAGCTTGTTGTTTTTGAATGTCGGGTGAAAGGAGCTCCTTCCCCAAAGGTTGAATGGTATAGAGAAGGAACACTGATAGAAGACTCTCCAGATTTTAGGATATTACAGAAAAGTATGTTTCTTGTGTGAAAATATTGTGTCTAATAAAATACAGGCAAGCAACAAAATTGCTAACATAGCAACACTGAATTTCTTATTACAACTGTAATTTTAATTTTCAAATGCAGTCAGAACATCTGCAATTTTCTCTAAATCACTGAAATGCTAAAATTGTGAAAATTCAACAGAAATTCCTTAAATGTCACACTAAACTAAACCTAAGTGAAAAAATGGTTCATCATATCTTGATTTCATGTGGGTCAGAGTTTCAGAAATTGCCTTCAATATAAAATAAATTTGTGCCAATACTGAAAAAAAAATCCCACCCAGCTACTTGGAGAATTTATTTCCTATTCTCCCAAGTTCCCAACAGTGTTCATAAGTGTTCACATTGTTCAATGGCCTTGATATACCATTGAGTGAAAGGCCTGGCTGTCTTGACCTCCCCTTAAACAGAAAATTGGATCAGAAAGAGTATTCCATCATATTTAGAGGGTTAAACTTTATATTTAGTGCTTAAGGAAAAATAAATATTGGCAAAAATAACTATATTCAATCTAATAATTCTTCTCTTCTTCCCTTTAGAACCACGATCTATGGCTGAACCAGGTGAGGGTCATCAAAGGTTCATAATTTTTCATTACATAAATGTGATGGTTTAACTTCACAAAATATTAAATATTAAAACTTCATTATTTAGTTAACATAATTTCTTCCTCGTGTTCTATAGCTACTAGTAGCACACATTTCACTGTAGACTGTTCCACAAACATGTAACTTGAATTAATTCAGTCTCTTTTGCAGAAAATGTTTCCACTTTGCTTAGACCCAGTTTTAACTCAGGATCTGAACAAGCTAAAGATTAACAAAATTAATGTGTGAGGGTCCCCTGTACATCTGAGGTCCCGAAGGATATGAGATGAGGTAGAGCTGAGCTATTTTTATCTAGTTTACCAGTTAGGGACCATTGCATCAGATGTTCAGCCATGTCAGCCATTCCCTGTGCTCCCGAGCAGCGTAACGTGAGAGTACCACATCAGGTGTTCCACCCCTGATATCAGCAAATCCTATAAATGTGGCTGGATCTGCTGATTCCAAGGATCAGGGTAGAATGTGGGCTACTTCTCAGGGTTGGAGCAGAGGAGCCCTATAGCTTTGGTCATTTCTCCATGAGAGATTCACTCTCCTCGTTATGCTTTTTGCAATTAAAGATATGACGCTGCTCCTCTTAAGATGGAAAATTATCAAAGGAGTATTAGATCTTATGGAATATAAACTTCTGTATTCTCCTTGCCCTATTTGAAACATTTTTACCCCAAAAAGAGTCTTGAAAGAAACTGCCTCTGTCTGAGATTTAGGAATATAAAAATGGAGCTTCTACCAGAAGCCACTGCACTGTTCTGTTACTATCCAGTGGCATCACTGCTGAGTAATGTGAAGCAGTTTTTAGGGGATAATCAGTTGGGTGCAGTTGTCACAGCCTCATCACCTGCTGCTCATTCAGAAGGAATCTGGATTTCCATGCATGCAGTGGTTGGCAGATCCCAGCATGATAAACTAGATACTATAATGCCTTAAACTAGTTCTGTTATCATACTACTATAATAAACTATTATTCTCCTAGAGTTGATAGGAAACAATCTCTGTGTTGCTATCGGGTTTTCCTTGGTGATGACATGAAACAATCAAGTTTAAGTGTGCAAAAGTACTCATAGAATATTTATCCTGTAAGGTTTTAGGAATGTCTATTGCAAAATTGCAGACAAATAGTCACTGAGTAGGTGAAGAAATTTCATCAGCCCACATTTACATTCACTTTAGGTCTTATTGTCCCTCCTCCTCCCAAGCTACTTAGCCAAACCAAAAGACTTCAAATCCCATCATGACAGGTAGTTATTAGCTGGCACTGCTGCCCAGACGTGTCAGATACTGGTCAGACAGGAATGTCAGAAACCCAGACTGACTTTTCTAGATGGAATATAATTTTTCCTAGTACAATTTTGCTAGGATATTTTTGATGCCCATTAGTCATCTTCACAAAGAAGTCAAAAGACAACTTTCTGTAAGCACAGTTAGCACTATCCCCTCTATCTGCAAATTTACACTGGTATTTTTGAAAACATCAGTCTATATGTATGTGGTTTATATTTATCTCCATTACAGAGGGACTCCACTTGAATTGTTCCCAGTCAATTATAATTAATCTTTCAATCATCAGAGATAAAAAATACCTATATTTTAGTGAGCTGAGAATGTGGAGCATACTATATATTTTTCCAAATTGAATTTTAAGTTCTTTTAAATCTGTACTTCAAGTGCTAGGAAAACATTTTCTAATGTTTTCCACACATGCTGACACCTGTTCTTTGCTTTCACTGGGCATGCTGGAGCACAGAGGGTACCAGCTGCTGCAGACAATGCTGATAACAGCTGCTGCACACAAAGGCTGCCAAAACGATAATACTGATGGAACTAGAAATAAACTGAGCAAGGTGGGAGGCCTTAAGGAAATCTCCCCAAAGGCAGTCAGGGTTCTGTGTGTTTGTTGTGCACTGCATGTTCACTTCAAGTGCTAACCCTGCTCTGATGCTTTGCAGAGGAGATTTGTACTCTCGTGATTGCTGAAGTATTTTCAGAAGATTCTGGCAGTTTCACCTGTACTGCAAGCAATAAATATGGCACAGTGTCCAGTATAGCTCATCTGACTGTCAAAGGTAAGAGTCCTTTGCTCCTGGTAAATACAGCAGAGCAGGCTGTGATTTATGCTGTGCACTGTTGACTCCAATGCAGCTCAAGTTCTGGCAATGTTCTTCATAACTAAAAAGTGTGAGAATTCCCTGGGAAAAAAACCCCAAACCTTTTGTATTTCAAAGATATAGTGGAATAATTCACTGGGGACATGGCTGAAGACCACTGATTGATTTTCCAAACTGGAGCAGTGTCCCTTTTCCCTCTACCTTTACAATATTAATTTTTCAATGGAATTTGTTCTTAAACAAACAAGGTCAATCAAGTTAGTGCAACAGCTGGGAGGACATCAGAGTGAGTTTTCTGAACTGTAACTTTTGTGATCTCATTTCACTATGATTTCTGGCATTTACATATCCCAAAGTTTTGACTTTTCCTCTTCCAGCTCCTGAGGACAGCAGCAATGCTGCTGCCCTTCACACAGCAGGCTCCATCGACTTTGTGGCTACTGAGCACCAACCTCCCCTCCAGGCTCCTTCCAGCCAGGGAGCAAACCAAACCCCCAAACCCAAACTCGAAGGTGTTCTTGTGAACCACAATGAGCCCAGGTCCAGCTCCAAGGCAGGGCTCCGTGTGCACTTCAAGCTGCCTGAAGATGAGAAAGGAAGCGAATCATCCTCAGAGGATGGACATGGCACCACAAATCAAAGCAGACCCAACCATTTCCCAGAGAAGATAAATGGACAGCCAGTGAAAATACCAGAGCCAACATCACCATCCAAGGAACCTCCCCCAGTACTGGCTAAACCAAAGCTGTAAGTAAACAGAAGTCTAATCCTCAGGAGCATCCATCCTGATATTATTTAGTATTTATTGACCACAACACTATTGCCCCAGAGTGAAAACTCAAATGCAGAATACAAAGATTACATGGCATTGGCCTAACTAACCATAATCTTAGAAAACAAATTCTTCAGTGCTAGATTATTTTTTCTGTATATCCCTCTCAGGAAAAGTGACCTCCAGTTGAAAAAGGAAAATGTTTTCCCTTTGAAATGTTATTAATTCCACAAGGTTTTCTGCTGCAATCAAGAGGTGAAGAACACTGATCTTATGCAGGCAAAATAAAAGCAGGTTCTTCAAACATACCTCACTCAGTTCTGGGTATGAAATATTGCCCAAAACAGCCATATTCAGGCTTACACAAAGTACAGACTGGCAACCAGCAAGGAATTGCCATCCCAAAGGCCATGCCTCATGACTTTTATGTCCCACAAACGTCATCTCCCCCTAAAACAGATAAAATACTTGGAAATGCTTGATAAAGTGAAACCACTTGAACTAAAAAGTGATTGATGCACTGGGAGCTCAAGGGGAAATTTGAGGAAGTAATGTAGTTTTCTTAGAGGACAATTTATGGAATTCACACTGCAGTTTATTATGAAAAGTATTTTCAGCTTTTTTTCAACCTCCCACACATAATTTAACAACAAGCACACAAACATCCTCATTTAATTTCTTAAATAGGCAGAGGTTTTTCCTAAGGGCTCAGGAAGGACTCTATATAAAGTGATTCACTGGTACTTTCAAGCCAGGATGTAATTTCTTTACAAGCATAAACATTACATTCCTTGTAGCAGAGGAAGAACTCAGAGCGCAGGGTTTGAATTTGTGGAGCCCACATTCACACCCTACATACTTTCTGAGCTATAGGGAGTTTAACTGGGGAGGCAGAAGAAGTATCTAAGTACCCAATACCTGCATAAAGCAGAATTTCTCTCAGCTCCCCCTCCCAAAAAAGTCGTGTTACAAAGAATTGCTTTACTATGCAGATGTATGCATGAAAGGCACAAAATCAGGCCCACAGAACTACTAACTCTACCATTCTACTTTATGAAAGCTTGAAATTGCTGTCTTCATCTGCCTTTAATGTGATTTTTGTTTAGTACATTGTATAAACAAAGTCTTTTAACTAAAACCAAATTATGTTGAGCATGTATTTGCTGTGTCAGGAGCAGTTGTTCTTGGTCCCTACATCCACATTTTCCACTTTTTTATCAGTAGATATTTAATACTCATCATTTATTACAAAATCCTTTTCCATATCTTCTATGTCTTTTCTGGTTTTGGAAGGGGAAAAGCTCTCCTGTTTTTCATGTGCTGTATTTCCATATACATAATAACTAAATAAACCACTTGACAAGGCAAAATTACTTTCCTTAATTACAAAGTAAAAAAGCCCTGAAAAACTATCTAGTAGATAGCATCTAGAAAAATAACAACTGCATGGAACGCAAGTCCTCTCTGAATTATCCACTCCTGCCTGTCACTGAATGTCAACACCACCTAAACTACATTGGTAGTATATCCTGTAGTGAATTATTACAAAGCTTTACCAAAGTGCTGGTTTCAGGAAGCACTTCAGCAGGAGCTAAATAATGCAACCTGCCTTACAAACACTCATTGAAATTATGATACACCAAATCTCACTCTTAGTTACACAAGCAAAGAGGTACGAAGGTGACTTTGACAATGATATCCCTTAAATATCTTTGAGTAAGATTTATATTTATATTTCGCATACTAAAATGTAAGAATTATCTTCAGTCAAATAATTTGTGGACAAAAAGCTTTGGTGCCTCTGGCAAAGAAAGGAACATGAAGGAAAAGGTTATTTTAGTAGAAAACTAATACTATGCTCCTCTCATAATGTCAGAGGATGTGCCATGTAGCAGTTTCCTGTCTCTTACTGTATCATAGGACATCGAATTTTTCTCTCTGAATTCATACACAGAACTGCAGCCGACTGGCTCATTCGGGGCTCATGACCAATTCTGTTCATCTTTATTTCCTGTGCAGTGATCAGAGCCAGTTAAAACAGCTCCACAACCAGGTCTTGCTTGAACAGCAGCAGGTGCACCAGGCATCTCTGAGAGAGCTGTCATTCAGCAGCACCTTGGTGAATTCTGCCACTTCCCTCTACCAGCAGTCCACCTCAGCCCTGTACAAGCAGAGCTCAGGCTGTGCTCCTCAAGCCTTCGGCTACAGCCGCCCCAAGCAGCTCCTGGCCCCACAAACGCCGCCGCCAGCCAGCCCCTCTGCCAGCTCCTCAGCCACCTTGAGCAGCGTCCCCCCGGCCACTCAGAGAGCAAACCACGTGGAGAACTTCACAGCAAATCCATCAAGGTCCTCAGGAGGCTTTACAAGCAAAAGTGAACAGTCTCTCCCAAGCCCCAAAGAGCCCGTGGTGCCTCCACTGACGCTTCCTCCATGCAGTGTGAAACAGTTCCAGCCCCAGACCGTGACTCCCGCTCCGCTCTCCCCAACCGCACGGATCCAGAACCCGGTGGCTTTCCTTAGTGCTGTTCTTCCCTCACTTCCTGCTGCACCATCCACCAATGCCATGGGACTGCCCAGAAGTACCCCAGCCACGTAAGTAGCAGAAAGCACATGCACAGAAGCAGGGACAAATACTCAAAGGGAACTGGGATGTATTTCTGTTCAGGTGTTCAAGGGGGGAGTCACTGACCTGCAAGTCTTCTGTAAAATAGAAAAGTGAGTTATTCAGATATTCTAGTCATTTAATCTAACCTTTACATCCAGTAAGGAAAAGAAGGGATAATACCTTCTGTAAAAAGACAGAACGCAAGATGGAGAATTGTGAGCGTACAAACAGATATACAAGAATGTGGGGGCTCAGAGGTTCATAAGACTGTACTAGTGTGAGAAAAGAGGTTTCATGAGCTTGCAGGATAAGTCACTCCAAAACTCTTTGCTTACACCAGATATAAAAACATTCATACCTATTGTAAGCAAGAAGTAAAGTTTTAAAGGTACATTGTACTGCAAGGTTTTTTCTAGTCCAGGTGAATCTAAGAAATAACTTCTGTAAAGGTATTTTTCTGGTTGCAGTACTTTCAACATCTGAGGTCCCCCAGAAAATCTCAGGAGAGTTAATTGTTTGCACATTAATACTTTGATTAACAGCCAGCATGATTTCTATGACAAAACAGCTACCATGACACAAGCAAATAAGGATGATGATGTAGCAAGGTGGTGGCCTTAAGAGTCTCTCCTGCTGGAGTTGAAAGAGTTTTCCCTTTTGTGGACTGTGTGGACTCTGTCTTAGCATGGCTAGCACCTGTACATTGGTACCACTATTTACCCATAGAACTCCAAATCCTCCACAAAGTAAGAAATATTTTCCCCTTTTATCAATGGTACAGTTTAAGGTAGTGGTAGCCATCAGCAAGTCACAATCTCCTGACTATCCTGCTGACACTAGATCAACCAATCCATTATTACAACAGAAAGATGTGTCCCTGCGTCTACAGCATTCACCACTCGGTGTGCCAAGAATCCTGCCTTCAAACCAGTTCTGCACTGCTCCTCACAGGCATCCCAGTTGCCCAGCACAGCCACATAATTGCCATCACCCCGTGGCATGTGCCTGGAGCTCTTCCCAGCCCTGGCATCCTGGTCAGGCACACAGCATAAAGCTCTAAGGTCACGGTGAAGGTTTTCACTTGGGCCAGCTCAAGTTTTTGGTCTGCTTCCACAATGCTGCAAGAGCAGGCAAAAATCAGCTGCAGCTGTCCCCAGTGCCCTTGCACCCCTTCAGAGCTGGGGCACAAGTGCCCAGGGCTGTTCTCTGCATTTATGACACTTCACCTCTGCCATATGCTTCCCGTTCCTTCACTGCTGCACAGGCATGGCCACACCAGTCAGCACAATGCCTGCCAGGCAGATGACTAGTTAAATGTGTTTTCTTCATTTCAGCTTTCCTGTGTGCCAGCCCAGAGCTGAATTCCCACACAGCTAGTGCTCCTTTTGCTGACATTCAAATCTTGACCTCTGCATGGGACAGCCTGCAGGGCACAATGGTCAGGAAGGAACCTGAACAGTATCTGTGATAATCTGTAAATACCTATTGAAGCTTCAGCTTCCCTTTTTGGCATTATCAATGACAGTAATTCTGGCTACACAAGGAGTGAGAGCTCAGTGTCTGCACAACACCACAGGGATGATGCCTTGCAAAGTAATCACCAGTTATGCCTTTACCTAGAGCCTGTTATCAAGATCCCAACACTTCTTCTAGTAAAATACCACAACATTTCATGCTTCCTAGTAGTGTCCTTCTACTGTGTTCTAGCATGGCATTCTCACAGCCTCCTGCACTCTCACAGTCTCATGTAAGTCTCTCTTAAATTCTTATTTAAGAATTTAACTATTTTCAAACCTTACTAAAATCAAACACACCACATCTATACAATAAAAACAAAAAATAACTGTTGATGTTGGGTGTCATAAAAGGGGGAGAGAAATTAAAGAACTAAAAGTTCATGGAAAGAGTAAATGATCAATGAAGATGTGAGATAAAGATCAATGAGAAATTGTATTAACTTTTAAATTATTGCCTGATAGCAGTCAAATGTATACATTGTACACCTAAGGTAACACCTACACTCATTTCTTTAGCATTTACTGACATCATTATTGCAGGATAAATATAAATGGAACTTAGATGTTTATTGTAGCATTACAACCCCTACTTTCTCTAAGATGTGTGTTTTTAATTTCTACTGCATGGGAATGGGATACCCCATTAAAATAGTACCAAAAAAAAATCATATCCTGTATTATGCTTTGGCTTCTATGTAAATAAATAATAGGTTCCACCATAACATATTATAGCATACAGGTGACCAAAAAAAAAAATATATATACATATATACTGGTTGCTGCATGTTAGTATCAGAATTTTCTTTTAATAGCCCAACCCAGGGATTAAAGAAAAACTTGAAGCCTCTGCCATTAGCAACAGAAGATTCCATTCGGGAAAACAAAATTGCACCTGTAAAGGACCTGGAACGAAAACTGCATTTCAGAGAGGATGCTAATCAACAAAGTGGTCAGCAGGTAAGAAAATCAAGTGTTGTTAAAGTAAATTTTACTCACGAACAAGACATATAAGATGATGTGGAAAAAAGGCGTGGGTGAGCTGCTACACAACTTTGGAGGGGGAGCTTTCGTGTGAGGACTGGTTTGGAATAGCAAACTGGAACTTTAAACAGAAAGCATGAGGGATGAAGCTGTAGAAAATTCACTTTAGTGAATTTTCAGTGAATTTTCAAAAATTCACTTTAGTGAATTTTTAGTGAATTTTCAGTAATTATGACTGAGCAGCATTTTCCATTTCTCATCATCTCGAAGGCTAGTATGAATGTAAAACTTTATTTTCATGGCAGCTTCTGGACATTGGCTTTTACTTTTTTGCTTTACAAGTTGCTCAATTCATTGCACACACACATTCATACACTGTTTTAAAAGAAAGAGTAATGAAACAAACCAGTTTAGGATAAGGTTTTTGTTTTTCTTTCGGTTGAACTAAAATGGGCTTTCAATTTTTTAGCACTAAACCTATTTTCCCAAATTTCCAAACTTATATGAATTGACAGGGACTTCTTGGAGAACTTTATTATAAGAATTTAGCAAAATAAAACACCCTTTACGATGTTCAAGGAACAAAATATCAGTTCACTCTTAACTGGAATCAATAAATGCACTGGATCTGAGCACTGTCTATGAAACTAAAGAAGAAATAACAAATGAAATAGTAATTAGTTGTTGAAATTACTGAATCAGGCTTGAGCACCCTGAACAAAGGGGCTAAGGACTGTTAGATAGCTGCTGTGCCTGCAGGTGAGTGTTCCTCTCTCACCCTGCCCATGGAGCCCTCCACAGCCATCCCAGCTCAGGCCTAACACAGAAAATCAGAGTTTGCCCCCATCTGTTGTCAGCCAAAGAACTTTTCCCAAAATCCATCAGCCCTTCTGGCAGAGAACGTGCAGAGAGAAGCAGAACTCCACCGAGGCTCTGGAGCAAAGCCCCCTCTGTGGACAACTGCAGTGTAATCCCTGGGGGTTTTTTAATTTTGCTGCTGACCTTTCTTTCTGGCAGACCACACTGCCGAAGCACTTGGAGTAAAACAACTGGCAAGCAGAAGGTTTTGCAGACGAATCCCAAGTGTTACAATTTGTACTCGCTATGCCAGTAAAACAAATTATTTAGAGAGCTGCTGTGAAATACCAGTCAGTCTTTGGAGTTAACTGCATGATAACCCCTTTAGAAACACACTACCAGAGTCAAAGTTACCTGCTGACAGCAAAAGATACTTTTGCTGTACTTTTAATACACTTATTTGCTATTCTATATGAGACCAAACCTAAATCTTGATTCTCAAATTCCCCAAACACTGGAAAAGTTCAAAGGTGGCACTTCTCTAATTGTTACCATAATTAGAATGCCAATGGCAATGAACTAAAATCAATAAAAGTTTCCTCATTTTCCTCTCAATTCTGAACTTTAATCCCTTCTGATTTTACTCTTCTCATCTGAGAAAAGCCTACTCCAGCAAATTCAAGGCTGAGTTTTCTCCTCAATGAAGGCAGTGACTCTTTCAAGAGATGCCAGGATGAAGAGTATTCTCCAAAATTCCTATTGCTTTACACTATACACAACAATCAACATCATGAGAATAATATGCTGGAGTGCTGCATTCACACCCCCTGGTTTTTCCTCTCACAGTTAACACAGAATTAAAAAAGGAGACATTTTCATTCCACACAGAGAATATCTGTATTAAATCAATTATTGTAATGGTAGGGCAGGGCTTACCTGTCACAAATACAAATGCAAGTCTCCTCTGTGTGAGAGATCACTGCATAATGGAGTATAGCATCCAGTAAGAATCTCAAATGTTGGTTTCCTTGTATTGTCTACATAGTATTTTAAAAATTCCATCTCAGAAAATGTGTCCACTGGTGTATTTTTATTGATAGCGTTGTACTGGCACCCCACATTTCAATAGCAGAGTTCATTCTCATTTACAATACCTGCAGAGCATGCAGGGATCATCCAGAACAAATGCTGCAGATGACAATCCTGTGCCTTAAAGTCCTGGTATTGTCTTGTATTGCTGCATAAAGGGCAGTAATGAACAGGAGGGATTTGCATTCTGGTGCTCTATTTATTATCTAAAATTGACTTCCATATGAAAAATGTTCAGCTCACAAGATGAGATTTTCCTAAGTGTCAGCATTATGCACTCAGCATGATATCTGATAATCCAGATGTACTCCTTCTGTTTCATCCAGTACATCATTCATCACCAACAATAAAGAAATCCAGGATGAGAACAGAGCTCGGAATTTTGCTGATGCTGCATGAGACAAAACAGATTAGTCTCCAGGCTTCTACAGCCATGATGACCAGGAGGTGCTGATAAAAATACAAATACGATTTTGCCAAGATTCTAACGGCAACTTTGATCAAGTATATGCAATAACAAGCTGTCATTTTTACCAGAAAAAACCATCATGCCCCTCATTTCTACAGATAGTTGCAAGTTCCAGTGCCAGGTGAAATTCTGTCACAACCAGGAGTGCTGAAAAAAATGAGATTCAGTTACACCCAAACACCTTCAGTCAGATTTGCTCAGTTCTTTCAAACAAAAGGGGCATTAATGGCTTTATGCAATCCCAGGAAGATGTTAGGACAAATCCCAGGAGAGAGGAGACCTGACTCAGTGTCTTCCTTGGCTCAAAGACAATGAATTCCTAACTCTGAACTGCCACAAGGACAGGCTTCACTCCTTGCCAGGGGTACGTTGGTGCTGTCCCAGGTTGCTCAAGAAACGCAGCATTCTTTAACAGCAGCAGAAAAATCTGGAAATTCCACCTTTCAGAACAGGTTCTGTAACAGGAGACATGAGCTGGAAAAGCTAGAAAGACAGCTAGGTGGTAGAAAATCACCTCCTCCAGCTCCAAGAATAAAACTTAAGACCAGGCACCAAGAACAGGCCCAATTAGCAGCACATTTCAAAGAGCATTTCAGCTCAATGATTAGGGTCCTCTGAGGAAGCTGTTAGAATTTTTTCTTTCAGATTGTGATGGAGAAAAGGAACAGAGGCAGACTAAGACAGAGAAATAAAAAGATAATCACTCTACTGCCCAGAAATGAGGACAAAAAGCTCCTTCATTCTTGTCCTTGCTGCAGTGCATGTTTCACTATTTCTGCAAAGTGAAAGAGGACAAGAAGGACAAAGATCCCCATCCATTCCTCTCCACCCCCACAATGTTTTATTGGCACAAAGCTGGGAGTTTTCTCTTGGAGACTGAGCTTGAAAAGCTGTGAGACCAAGCATCCAAGCCTCACAACCTCAGTGAGTGTCAGGTAACTGCAGCACTTGATGAAAGGAGAGCACAGGCAGCATTATCTCCACTTCCCAAAATCTGCCACTCCAGGCCATTGGGCCTTTCAGCTGCCCTACAAGTAAAATATCTCAGTAATCTTCAGTTAGAATGAGTCATGTAGAAACAAAAAGATGTGTGGGGAGAAAAGGAAAGAAGGAGACTTTGGGGAGATTTTGGCAAATGAAAAAATATAAATGTGTAATGGAAACTAATTATTTTCCCCTGGTATTTGAAAGCATTCACAGGCTTCACTAACATAAATAAATCTATAAATATTTCCTCTGTTAACAGAGGAAATTCAGCTTTACAGGCAAAACTTAAAAATTAATGATATTATCTCCTCAACATTTTGTTATACAAATAACATAAAACAGAAAAATTATGTCATTAAACCTCAAAATCCTGTACAGTAATAAAACCAAATTAATTACCCATGCAATAATAAAGGAAGGCAGAGTTAAATACGAGGGCCTGGTTTGTACATTTTGGTTAAAAGAACCACAAACCATGCTCACATATCTGTGTCATTTACTATGAGGAATATCACGTGGCAATGCTGATTGGTTGTGTGTTACACAAGACTCAGATAGCAGCCTTATTTTTAGGACATAGAAAAAACCTACAGCTGTTTCGAAAATTATGCACAGCCCTCATATGAATATTCTTTACCTCTGCTAGAGAATACTTGATAAGAAATTTCAGAGCAGAAGAGATGCAGGGTTTGTCCAAAATCACTAAAAGCCAAAGCCATAGGCAGGTGCCAACTCAGCACAGAGGCTGACAGCAGTAACACCTCAACACTGAGCACACAGAACCAGCTCCTGGCAGTTCCCACACTGAGCCCTCAGCCTCAGAAAGGCCCACGAATCACCCAGAACTCTGCTCCCAGGGCACAAAAGTTACACTTCAATCACTCCAAAAATCTGCCTCAACATCAAGCTTCACATAATCTCTCAAAGGTCAGCAAATGTAGGCAATTTTAGACTAAGGATGGGAATTTGACCACAAAGACTCCCCGTGGAAGCTTGTCTCTTTGTACTAGAAATGAAAAGATTTGAGAATCTGACCAAGACAAATTTATATTAATATGTATAAACTCCCTGGAATTGTGGCAGTGAACATGGAACAACCACTTGTGGCTGTCTTCTCAAGACCTAGATCTAATCAATACCATAGTGCAGACAGGTTTTCATGGCAGGGATCCTGGCTTGCAGAGCTCCCCATGTTGGGGAGGGAAGCTGAGCTCCTCATGGCTGCACACACTCACTCCAGCTGCAGTTCTGTGGGAATTGGAGATGGCAGCTCCACGTACTTGCTCCTGCACTTCCTTCTTGCTTAACCACTCTGAACTGTATTTTGAATATTGTCTAGCCAGACAATGACTTGTAAGGCTCTCCATGGGTTTGTGTTTGGGTAAGCATGAGATTCATGCCCCATGTAATTCATCTGCAGGAAATACATCACCCCAGTGGTGGCACTTCCTGACAAGTGGAGTAAAGCCTGCCCATTGGATCTGCTGCTTTTGACTCCCACTGCTGAGAGGGGAACAGGGAGAGGAGAGAGAACCCAAAGTAATCAGGAGATACCAGTCAGAGTAGCCTAGATTAGACTGTGAAGTTAAGGAGTGTTACAGCCTGGAAACAGATGCTGAGATGCAATATATGC